AAATCCAAGGGTTAACTTACTTTTTCCATCAACACTGTGAATGTTAATTGGACAATAAAGTGAACTGTGAATGTTAATTGGCATTATAAAGACACAAAGATTATAACTACTTGTGTGTTGTCAGCTTCAGCAGATTGTGTTTGTCTGTACCAGTGATTTAGAAATTAGGTAATTCCAAAAGGTACTGTATTTAGTTACAGTGTCATAATGTTATGCCTGATCGGTGTATATGTACAATGAAAAGTAATTACGTATCTTCTAAAGCATACATGTACCATGAAGATGTAAGTAGTGTTACTGGCTATATTAGCTCCATATATCTTGAAAATTTCTGAGTACATATCTCATAGATTAAATTTCTTGGTTACAAAACCAAAGTCTGCAGTGTGCTGGCCTATGAAAAGTGAAACCTGGCACATAATTTTAAGAAACATCAGTGACTTTTGTTAGCCAGATTTCAACAAAGCACATGATATTACTGTTAAAAATACTGTCAAGAGTATTTGTGAGGAAACATAAACTCAAGACTAGAATCTGCAGTAATGTAAACCAATCTTCATTTCTTTACCTTAATCTTAGCTCTTTGCCATGGATTTCTTAACAGCTCCTAACAATCAACTGGCGGCTAATATTCAAAGATGCCAGCCTGAGTGTGCAGTGTTAACAGGTGTTCTCTTCTGTAAACATACATTAAAAGAGAAAAATAGCACAACATTCATTAAAAATAATCTAAAAATAACACTTTCATGTTTATTCATATCACAATTAAGTGTAACCAATTAATTGTAACTTCTTTGTTCTATTTTAACAAGCAAAAAGTAACAACACTCTACTAGGGGAATATGTAACCTTTGTAACTTTAGTCTGACTTTGAAGATTTTTGGATATTTTCCAAGAGCTTCTCCCTGGCTGAGAGTTTTCAATAAATATATTACTATTGAGCATTAATTGTGATTTTGAGATTTTACTGTTTTTTGATTTATTCAGAATTTCTTCCACAGCACACTGCCCCATTAAACACACATTATTCAGCTTATCAGCTTTATTAAGGACTTCATGAACCGAATTCAGAGCAATAGATGAAGTTAAACATTAATCTCAGCAGCACTTTGGCTCAAAAGGTCCCCACTTTGACACGCCTGCTTTAAATGATCAAAACAGTGTTGTATTCATGAGCTGATATGTACTGCCAGTAATGACATAGTGACAGTTTCACTGAGGCCATTTCACCTGTCCAGCGAGTTTGGACAGATTTCTTAACAAATGTGCCAGGACCAAACAGCAATAAAGCTGCTGAAAGGGTAGCAGACAGATGTAATAATGCATTTTTGCGCTCACCAGATTACCTGGGTGTCATCTTGGGGGATTTTAAAACCTGCAGACTGTGTGGGTTTATTCTATACCACTTTGTTGACTGTTGACACACAAGATGCCAATTCTTGATCGGTGTTATAGAAATGAGTCACCTTCCTTTGGGCAAAACTGACTATACTGCTATGCATCTACTTTTAAAATTGAAGATTAAGCTCATACTTTTTAAGTCGGTTATTAACGCGGTGATTTACATTGAATAATAAATTGTTAAATATTTTTATGTATTATTGTTATGCAGAAGCTAATACAAATGGCTAGGAGCATCCCTACAATTTAACACTCATGAGGAATATAAAGAACTATGAATACGCCACTTGTAAATCAGGCAAATCACTCCCTTGCCTTCCAGTTTTCAAACCCCGACCCTTCAACAGCATATTTGACAGTTTTAGATATTTGAATTTTTTAAAACCATTGTAATTTTAAATACCAATATCATGTATCTGCACTTTATGGCCAAAAGTATGTGGACACCCCTCCTAATTACTGAGTTCAGGAGTTTCAGCCACACCCATGGCTAACAGGTGTATAAAATCAAGCACATAGCCATACAATTTCCATAGAAAAACAGTAAGACCGGTCATCAATGACTTTAAATGTTACACTGTCATAGGATGCCACCTTTACCACAAGTCAATTTGTGAAAGTTCTGTCCTCTAGATCTGCCCCAATCAACTGTAAGTGCTATTATAGTGAAATGGAAGTCTATGAGCAACAACAGCTCAGCTTAGACCATGAAAACTTCCAGAGTGGGGCCACTGATTACTGAAGTGCATAGCTCACAAAAATGGTCTATACTCTGTTGCATTACTCACTACAGAGTAGACTGCCTCTGAAACCAACTTTAGCACAAGAACTGTGTGTCAGGAACTTCATGAAATGGGTTTCCATGGCCAAGCAGCTGCACACAAGCCCAAGATCACTATGCACATTTAGAAAATGACTAAAGCTTTATTCTATTCTTTTAAAAGTTTGTGCTTTGAGAGCTTCAGTGACGTACAATCCTTCATGCACAGCACAAAACCATTTGAACAGCAGAGACAGTCACAATTTGTGAGATCTTGTGGCGTCAGACTTCGGAACGAAATGTAAGGCAAGTTTATTTATATTGCACCTTTCATACACTGCTGTCATTAAAGGGCTCTACAAAGGAGAAAATACAAAGTCTTTAAAGATTTAAGATTTACACATTGCTGATGTCAATAAGTTGTGACGTGTTCATACAGCCTGCTCAGGCCACCTTGAATGTGTATGAGTGAATATAGAAAAAGACCCTTTGTATACTGGTGCTAGAACATCTTTCCTCCTTGGCTGCTTCCTTCACTTCCTCTATTATGCCATGTTCATCTTCAGATTTCTCATTTTCGTTTTAACTATAAACTATACTGTGGGCAGGGGTAAACTGTGTACATCTGATTTTTTGCCAAACTAACTTCCACCATCAATTTACAAAGCATCACTGAATAGTCAAGGTCTTAATTAAATTTTATTGATGCATATTTAAACAAAATACTGTAATATATAATTTTTTAAAGGATAGTGAAACAATGTTGATATATGCCTATACAATAAAAAATAAAGTAGTTCTTTTTTGTTAAAACATGATGCTGTGTCTTAAAAAGGACATCATAACTTAAATAGCAAGTTATATACTTAAATTGAAATATGAAAATACTTGCATTTAATGTACCAAAGTGTCAATAGTACTGCCAATTATTGCAATTATGTTATTTTGATTTAATAAAAAGGTTCTATTAAGTATGCAAAACTGAGTAAGCTTTTCGTATTGTTCGTATTCACAAGGCTGCCGGAACAACAGGGAGAGATAACATATGACACAACCTTTTTTATAACATTAGGTGTTTACCTGCTGGAGTGGCTTCAAGCTGAGGATACATGAGTGTTTGCTATCTGGGAAGTATTTTTTAGATTTTAAAGTAGCATCACTGCATGTATGCCCAGAAAGGACAAACAGAGGAGGCCAGTCACTGGTTATTGTTCTGTGCTTATCATTGATCAGTCGGTGTTTTGTATATTTTGTACTTGAGGTTGTGTAAAGATTAAAAAGCATGGAGGAGAGGGCCACAAACATATATAAATAGTAAGCCTAGTCCTACTTAAGAAACTATATTGTTAGTCCCTCAGTTTGAACAAAACTCTTCATCATTACCTGGTGGTCAGTGCAATCAGCATTACAGTCAAAGATTATTCCATTAACAGCACAAGGATGTTTTTGTGATGTGGCGTTGTTATACAGACTTTAATTGTTGTGAGGTGGCCATAAGTGTGCACGGAGTATAAACCCAATAATAATAATAATAATAATAATAATAATAATATATTTAAAAAGCATACTTAATAAAATGTACTTAATAAAGAAATTAATAATACATAATAAAACCCAATAAATCCTGATCCTGCTTCATGTTCTTCCAGGGTAGGAGGGGAGCAGTAGCAAGGGACGGAGAAAATAGGAGCAGTAGCAAAAGTATCCAGTCACAGCCATAGTAATCTCTGCAGAGCTGTGGACCAGAAGGAACCTATTTTGACACCACTTGTGTAAACTTTATCTTGTTTCTGTTGCTAGCACCTAACCCAGGCTTTCTTGCTTGAACCTATTAAACATTGGTTGGTATAGTATAGTGGGCAACATCTCTGCCTTTTATGCTGTAGACTAGGATTTAATCCCCTGCCTGGGCAAGCACCAATAATACCTTACGCCAATAAGAGTGCTTGGGCAAGATCCCTAACACTATCTTTGCATACCTGTATAAAATAATCAAATTGTAAGTTGCTTTGGATAAGAGTTGTCTGCCAAATGCTGTAAGTGTAATGAAAAGGCACACTTCACCCTTGCTGTGGGACAACACTGCAAGTTTGGGGAGATGAGATCAACTGGGTATCAACAGGTATCTTCCTTATCTAACACAGACTTGGTCAAAGCAGTCATACCTTCATGCAAATTAGACAATCTACATATACAATTGCTGATTCATTATTACAAATCACAACTGCAATAATGCAGACTTAGATTGGTTCAGAAACCAGTGTCCCTCATGGGCATCCTATTGACATCAGCAACCAGCCCCAAGGCCAGGAAGCTTCCCAAACAGTCACCTTTCACCCAGTTATGTGATGATGGAAATACCAAGTTCCAACTCTTGTACCATAGTCCACCACCATGTACTGTGGAATAGATTAGAGATGGGCATAATCTCAAGTACTCATTAAACAGCATCCTTCTCTAAGTACATACCACAAGCCTCACAGACACAGAAAGACAAATTATTACTTTTGTGAGTAAGAAATATATTCTTAAAATATTCTAGATTAAAAAGAATCAAATTTGATTATTTAGTGCTGTTTAGATACACATAGTTCTATTTTTTCTCAGACTCCCACTGAGGGAAATTACCAATACACTGCTGTTGTTAGTAAACGCAGCAGTGACTTCTACTTGTAAGAGTGATGTGAATAGTGTCATCCAAACAAATATTTAAAACTTTTTTTTAATGATGAATATATGCAGTTTGAACTGTAGTGTCTAACATAAAATAAACCTGTTACCAAAATAAAAGTATTAAATGCAATATTTTGTAGAAGCCAGTGGACAAAAACACCTGACACACCATATATTTGGATTTATTAGAACTGCCTGCACTGATAGGATTTTTTCAACAATTTATTTGAACACAAGTACAAAATAACAAAAAAGGACATTGAAAATCAGTACATTTGAAAAGTCTTTTTGTAATTAGTCAACAAGTAAATTATACACTTAATGGCATGTCTTCTTCCAACATATCCTGAAAATATGCTGCATTCCTTTAGAGTTCCTTTGTGTTCTCTCTATTGGCAGCATTAGCTGACTGACCCTTACAACAATAAACCAAGTCGTTGATTACTTTCACTGTTGAACAGTCCGTCCAAATGCATCCATTGTTTCCATTACCAGTGCTAGGTGATCTAAAAATGAGCCTACAGATACACGAAGAATGCGGGCCTCCTCGGCAGTCCACTTTCTGGAATTGCATTAGAGAGAAGTTAAGATGAAATTCACATATACACATCATGAAATAAGTCAAATCAAATTACAGGATACAGCCTGCGTTTTGCAAATTAATTTTCAATACTGTTATTGTACCTACAGGTCAGAATTTGCTGAATTCTCAATGTAAAACAAAATGATTGCAAACACCTCTAAAATAAATAATGAAATAATGGTGCAGCAACCATTGTAGAAGACTATTTGTAATAATCGCTATACGTGCATACAGTCACATCATATTTGACAAAACAGCAGCAAAACTAATACATACCTCACCACTCTCGAATCTAACAATTTGGTGAAGGTCAGTGTTGTTAGTACATCATTATTTCTGGAGACTCATTGCACCTACCCCCTCATAACTAATTAAAATGGGTGTTACTCATGAAGCCTAGCGTAAACACACTTTCTAAACCACTTATCCTTCTGGGTCATGGGGGGAGCTGGAGCGTAAAACATTCAGTCAGTCATATTTTACTTAATTCATTAGGGAAAAAACAAAATCAAATTCTATAAAGAGGTAAGACTATTAAGACATTTTCATTGTGAAATTATTTGTAGTATAAATAATCAAACACATGCTATGCCATTATACTACTCACTATTAACATCTGACTTAACAAAAAGAACCTCATTATTGTTGCACATCTTTCTCATTACTACCAAGGCTTATATCGGTATTTGTGAACCCTAGAAACTGTCACTGTATTATTTTAAAATATTTAAAATATTAAGTTTCATGCAAAATCACCACTGTTGTGAACACAAGCAGGGCCAACGCAACCAGATATGCAAAGGGAATAGCCTAGAGTGGCACTTGAGCCAGGACAGCCAAACACACCAAATTATAATGTTACCTATTAAGAACTTCACAAACTCCATGTGAGTGTGTTCTTTAAAGGAGTGGTTCGGTGAAAAATCTAATTTACACTATGTTCCACATACCCCAAATGTAGCCAGACATGTTTGGTGTAGTTTAGCACTAGAGCTACAAGGTTAATGCTGCAAACAAACACTACAATTCCCAAATCTTTCCATTAATACATGCCAAAACTACTGTTAACTCACCAAAATCACACTGAAGTCAGGGCAGGCTTGTCAATGTGGTCTATGGCACAGTATGAACAACAAAAATAAAGAAAATGACTGCATGCATGCACAGCACAGAAGCATATGGATGCTAGATTACATTCTTGATTTTTATTGTTTCTATTTAAATATATATCTTCAGTTTCAAAAGTTATTTATAAATAGAAACAACAGAAATCACAAATGCAATCTGTACTGTCCATATGTCTGTGTGACATGCATACATATTGTACATACAAATGACTAATTCTCTCAGACTATAATTGGATTACATTACTTATTAATCCTGGAAAAAGTAATGTCATTACTTATTACTTCACTTCAACATTACTTTCTAAAGCCCATACAAATCTGTACCAACTGTAAATTACAAGAAGAAGCTGAAAATGACTTAGTATTTATTTAGAAACAAGTGGCCAATCAGTAAACATCATTTAAAAGGTCTTTCACTATCTCTGCCTCTGCTCCATATCCAGCCAGTTATGCTTTATTAAAAGTATAAATGGCTAATGCTGTTTGAAAACCTAGAAACTAGCCAAAAGAAACCATTAAAATAAACAAACAGACCAATAAAAAGGAAACAGTTGCCTTGAAATATAATCTTTAAGAAAAAAATGTAAAGCTTACAGAGAAGTTTCTGAAAGAAAATTGACTCTGGCCTGTTTAGATGAAGTTGGTGCTCTATTTTTCAGCATGGGAATTAACAAAATTGGACATCAGGCATGTCTTGGCTGATAGTCAGCACCTGGGGTTATAGTGGAAATATACATATTTTTTTTTTTCATGAAAATAATTCCTTTTACCACACCATCTGGCTGAGGAATATGGCAGTCCCTAACCCTGCCCCAACCCTTCACTTAAAACCCATCCCTGAACATTAATTACCGAATTATAGATTAGCAACTGTAACTAGGCACAGGCACCTGACAAACTTGCAGAACTCAAAATGTTCAGAACAATATTCAGTTGGTATGGAGTTAAGACTAAATTACCAATACATTTTTTAAAAACAAACATAGCTCCAAAATATTTGGCCAAGTTATCTAGCTTGCAAGTCTGGCTAGCTAATTAAGTCTCTCTTTGTTAACTCACTTAATTAACTACGGTCACCTAGTTAAAAAAAAGAAATTAACATGAAGTCGCAGGTATAAAAAGGCAATATCACTGTTGCCTTTTATGAATAAGTGGCCTATTTCTGAATAAATCCTGTCATTACTCCAACCCTGTCAAGAGGGGTTGTGTGATGGATAAAAACCACAATTACAGCACAAAATCCTGGTAAGGTTTAGAGCATAATGAAGAACATGACAGCCTAATTACTGTTTGCTAGCTAGCTTAGAAGTAACATGAGGTATTAGTACAATGGGGCACACCTAATATCCTTAAAATGCATATAATCATACACTTACCTACCCTGTCGTACAGTAACAGTTCTTAAGCTTAACAACAGAGGAGCAATTTACTAAACTTTTGCACTGGATCTCTAGGCCTTAGCTTCTACCTTTTATGCTAAGATGATTTAACACACACACACACACACACACACACACACACACACACACACACACACACACACACATTTTCTAAACCGCTTATCCTTCTGGGTCGCAGGGGGGTGCTGGAGCCTATTTCAGCAGACTTTGGGCGGAAGGCAGGAAACACCCTGGACAGGTCGCCAGTTCATCACAGGGCAGACAGACAGACAGACACACAGACATACATTCACACACACACTTACACACCTAGGGGCAATGCTGCATGTCCAATTGCCTGACTGCATGTCTTTGGACTGCGGGAGAAAGCCAGAGTGACTGGAGGAAACCCACGCAGACACAGGCAGAACACGCAAATTCCACACAGAAAGGACCCTGGTCGTCTGGCCAGGAATCGAACCCAGGCCCTTCTTGCTGTGAGGCAACAGTGCTACCGACTGTGCCACCGTGCCGCCTAAGATGCTTTTTCAGAAAGTTTTTAGTATTAGAAAGTATAAAGGTATAAAAAACCTAACTGTATTTTAGTATGTAAGACTTAATTTCTCTATTAAATAATTAAACAATCATAATAATGATAGTAATAACAACAACAACAATAATAATAATAATTATTATTATTATTGTTATTATTATTATTATTATTATTAAAGGCTCTTTGTAATTCATTATAATTACAGTAAAAATAAAAATAATTACAGTACTAAAATTAATTAACATTAACAAATAACATTAAATTAATACTAATTAAAATTAACATGCTGTAAGTGAAATTCCTATAGCAAGCTCTTTTAGTTTTATTTCCTGGATCTCGTAATCACTAAAGGTTTAAATACAAATGTGAGAGATAATTTCTGTATTTTCTTTCAAATCAATATAGAAGTAAGAAATTTACTTTAAAAACATTACATTAGCTCAGAAACAGTTGAGAAGCTTAAACACATTTATCGAATACAGCTCTGACTCCCTCCTGTAATGATCTGGTCTCAATGCTTAATTTAAGGAAACTCTTGACATTCACACTCCAGTCAAATGGGAAAAAAAAACATGCGTTCTCATAAAAATCTATAGATGAATGCAGAAATACACCAGCTTAAGAGAAATTAATCAGAGCACTTATGGAGGAAAACAAAGCTGCAGGTATGATATTCTCAAAGAGCAGACCTCCACCTACAATACTGCTAAGAAAATATCCAGAGTTATACCACTCTATTATAAACACCAAGATCATGCCACACCCATGAACTAATTAACCTTAACTTTTTTTCGAGATTGTCTCATGACTTATCTTCTAAAATTTGCAAAGAGTTTGTGATTCACTTTCAAAATAAAATAGCCTAGATAAGACAAAGCATAGCTCAGCCAGCTGAAACAGGCTCCTATAACCTTCCTGTTGAGCCACCTACATCAATAATGGCATCTTTCTCTGTTATCAATTATCAGCAGTTTAAAACTGTCATAAACAAAAAGTTCGTCCAAATTATTTTAAACCAATTTCAAACCTTCCTTTTTTTTTTTAGGTAAAATCTTAGAAAATGTTGTTTAGAAACAACTAAATGCATATCTAGTATCAAACAAGTTTTTGAGAAGTTTCAATCAGGTTTTCATTTTAACCATAGTACTGCATCATGTCAGTGACCTCAGGCTCAGCGCTTAGGCACAAAATCCTTCTATTCTGGTCTTACTGGATTAGTGCAGTTTTTGATACTGTTGATCACAAGATTCTAATCCACCATTTTAAATACTGGGTAGGCCTCTCAGGCTCAGTTTTAGAATGGTTTAAATCATATTTAGTGAATAGACAGTTCTTGGTTTCACTGGAAAAGGATTTCTTGTGGAGTCACACAAAGTTCAGTTTTAGGGCCTTTGCTTTTTCTCTTTGTACATGTTACCTCTAGGTGATGCCATTAAGAAACATACCTATTTAATAGCTAAGCTGATGACCTACAATAATACATTTCCATTCCTTCTAATAATCTAGACTCTTGACAAGCTAACCAGCCGTGTGTCCGATATTTCTCAGTGGATGTCACAAATTCTGTACAACTAAATCATGAAAAAACTACAGTACTGATTCTTGGTACTAAAATTCAGAGAAAAATGCTTTGAGAAGCTCGACTCTTTAGCTTCACATCCCAAGTACGTAACCTGGGATGCTGAGCTCCGTTTTATCCCGCATGTAAACAAAGTTACTAAAGTAGCTTTTTATCGTTTGAGAAATACTGCCACAGTTAGACCTTTTCTATCTCAGAGTGACACAGAGAAACTTGTTCATGCATTTGTTAAAGCAGAGTTGATGGCTGTAATGCTCTTCTTACTGGGCTCCCTAAGAAAACAATACATCCTCTACAACTTGTGCAAAATGTGGCAGCACGGATCCTAACAAAAACATTAA